ATTAAACATCGTGTTCACCTCGTTGCTGGAAACCGAGGGGTCAGAAGAGTATTGTCGGAAGTCTCAAGTTTGTGCTTAAATTGTAGTGCTAATGAAGAAAAAAGGAAGACGAAGAGAAAGATGAATAAACATAAGGTGAAGAAAAAGAAGAGGAAAACGAAGAAGAAGAAACATAAGAGGAAAAGGAAGAACAAGAAAAAGAAGAGGAAAACGAAAAAGAAGAAGAAGAAGAGGAAAACGAAGAAGAAGAAAAAGAAGAGGTAGATGAAAACGAAGAAGAAGAAAAAGAAGAGGTAGACGAAAACGAAGAAAAAGAAAAAGAAGAGGTAGACGAAAACGAAGAGGAAGAAAAACAAGAGGAAAAAAGGAGGAAGAAGTAGGAAAAGAAGAGGACGACGAAAACGAAAAAGAAGAAGAAATGGAAAAGAAATCGTAGAGGAAGAGGAAGAGAAAGAAAAAGAAGAAGAAAATTAAGAAAACAACAAAAAAACAATCTCTTACCTTCTTATTTTCAAATATTAACCTAAACTCTATTATTATGCTTTGAAAAATACATAACTTTTTCTTCTGCACATATAATATAAAAAAGTTATCACATAAGATTAGGAAAATGTAATTAATTAATGTAATTATAATATAAAAATTACAGAAGATAGGTTTTTACTATCTCATAGAAATAAACTTTTAAATGATTTTTATATTTATTAACATATAATCAAGACTTAATTCAGACGTTCATTATAAGATAAAGAATAGAATTAATTATAAATAATGTAATTTATTTTACGTACTCATGTAATAAATAAGCAAATAAAAATGTTTTAAGTAAATTCTAAAGTCTCTAAAAGTCGTTTACAAATTCCCAGTGCCTTAGGTGAAATCTCAGTATATTTTTAATTTTAGAAATCTGCATTAAAATCCCTCTCCCATTAAATTAAATTGCAAAAGAACAACGCCAACAACAACAATTGATCTGATACATAAATAAGGTTTTATAATGCAAATTTCAATTACCCTAGATCTAGAAAAACTAGCAAACTAACTTAAAATAGTAACAATTTAGGCTATAATAGCTTTAGCAAAAACAACAATAGCAACGTACACTGCGATAATCGTTACATGAACGAACACGCAACAAAAATCCCATGCAACTTTGGTTGAATAACTAATTGCAATGCATACGACGACCATTACAAGATTTTCCCTTTTCATGGCTTGAATCCGCAAAACAAGCCAAGAGGCAGGAAAACATTTGTTGTAAGTGCAGAGTTACTTAGCTAAGTAACGCTCTTCACCAATGTGCCGAGCCATCATTTTCTGCACTCGTAGCATTATGCGACAATGACCTCTTTTTACGTATTTAGGTACTTCAAGGCCAATAGCTAAGAATTATGTGTTATGTGTTATGTGTGCAAGTCCAACTGACAACAAGAAAACAAGAAGACCATGAAGGACAACGCAAGACCAAAGATTCACGCGTCCAAACGATCCAAAGAGACCAAAGTGATCAAACGCATACAATTGGGTCTGGTGTGCATGTAAGCAAAGCATTTACAACAAATAGAATGTTTATGCAGCGCAGGATCCTTTGTGCTTGTTTTGGGTTTATTTGATGTAATGTACAAAAGCGCCGTCTCTCTAGCCCCACTCCAGGCCAACGTGTGCTCTCTGCTAAAATTTATAGTTTTTTGTGCAAATATTTATGTTGGCAACGGAGGAAATCTGGTGTTAGTAACATAAAGCAATAGCGAAAGCTTTGGACGCAGCAATGAAAGGAAATGTATTGTAAGTGCGTAACAAGAAATGAAGAAGTTAGGGTTCTGCAACCCAAAGTTTTCAAATATATAAATATATAAGTTCCATTAGACTGATACGATACTGCTTCGAAGGAATAGTAGCCTTAGATATCGGAATATCTAATACAATAAACATAACATTGTAGACGCGACTCTAAATGCAAGAATATAAGTGTATTCCAATATATATTAATATCGGAAAATATACAAACAAATTCTATTACATTGGTACAATAGAAATGCTGCTTCGAAGAAATAGTGGCTTTAGATATCGGAAAATATTAAACAATAAATAATTAATAAAACATTGTAGATGATTCTAAATTAAAGAATACTAGTGTTCTTTAAATACTATTTCGATCTATTGAAAGTTTAGCGGAATAAACTCCTTTCCAAAAAAAACGTTAACACCAATTATTTCTAATAGGTTAAAAATTCATAGACTTGTGGAAATGAACAAGTTTACTGCTTTTGACAGAAAAACGAGAGTACATACAGAATAAGGTACAACAATGATTTCAATATAATCTATAATTATATTATAACTATAATAATATTTTTAATATATTAAATGAGTACGGTTAAACTATATATAAAAAAGCAAGTATTTAAATCAACCAACCATGGTATTAGTATAGCAGAAAACAGATTTGTTGAGACAGATTACTGGTAACTAGAAAAACCAATAGAAGAAATGTAGATCTGCTATAAAAAATTAACGTTAACAGCTGAAAACTATTGTTATATATCATTAGGACATCAGAAGACAGATTAAAGTTAAACTTTGTTAAGGCAGCTTACTAAAATTTGGGACAAGTTAATGTCGCATAATATATGTCCACAGAAAAAATGTAGAATTAGAAAGATTGACATTAACAATTGGAAAAACGGCTAATAATAGGATGGTGTTATATGACATACTACTTCTTGGCTTGAACCTTTTCTTTCCAGTTCCAGTTTATTAAACGTTGTATATACATTAAGACTGAAAAGTTTTCGGAAATTCTCATTTAAAATTCGCGCGCTGTATATTTTTCGAT